GGGGGCGCGTACGGTGCCGCCCTTCGGGCACTGCAGACTCATCCTCTCAGACACCGATCGCGTAGCTTACCTTGCACGCTGAAGCCCGCGGTGGCATCTGGGTCACAGGAGCCAGGCTCGGCCACCTGCTGACCGGCGCTCGTAAGCTGCAGCAAGACACAGGAGGCCGGTCGGCGGCCTGTCACCTGCGGGCTGCAGGGACCGCCACAGCAGCCCCAGCGCGAGGGCTGACGGGTGGGGTGGGGGCGCTGCCTGACCTGGCTGGGGTCCCATCCCACGGGGGTGGGAGTGAGCGCGGGGGCGTGAGGCCCGTGGCCCCAGCGCACTGTCGTACGGTCCCGGCCTGGTCATGCAGCTGGCATCGTGGCGCAGAAATGACATTCGTCACTTTCTGCTCCAGGGGACGCGCTCTGCCCAGCAGGGGTTCTGGGGAACACCAGGCGAGGTACACCTGCTCCCCCCCGGCCCGCCAGCCGCCTCGGCCTGTGTCCTGCGTGGTCCAGCCCTCGGCCACTTTAGGCCATGTGCCTGCATGTGACAAACACCACACGCGGGAGCCCCTGCACTAGCTACAAAGAAAGCGCGCGGTTTCTGAATCCTCGGGTTACTTCAGAATCGCTTGCAAATCACGAGCCCCGGGGAGGCCGAGGGAGGTGAGCGGTGCCCGCAGCCTGGTGCCGTCACAGCCCAGGTCGTCCGCTCTGCCCGCCGCCGGCCTCCCCGCCACTTCGGTCGGGCTCTCGCACAGGTCTTGCAGAGAGGGGGTGACAGGTCTGCTGAGGGCCGAGGGCCTGCTTCCCACCCAGCCTAGGACCCCCTTCAGGCCTGCACTGTGTATTCCCAGATAACGCTGTCGTGCCCGGTGGCCATGATCAAACAGTCGACTGGCGTCGAGGCCGGGAGCCAGCTCCCCCGTATGTCCCTCTGCTTGGGAGAGCTCTGTCTGAGACACCTGCACGGACTTTCTGGAGAGGCCGAGTCCCCACGGCCCAGCTGGACACCTCCCTCCACCCACGGGGCTCCCCAGGGCCCGGACGCCTCAGGGGGGCGGCTGGGACAAGGTTTACTGGCCCCAGAGCCCCTGATTCCGAAGGGGCAGCCAGGCGAGCAGAGGCGCCTCGGAAGGACCGGGCCGGGTCCGAGCCTGCGGCACCTTCTGCGGTGGACACGGGCGAGGGTGCGGGCCAGGCTGGCGTCATGCCGCTGAGGCACAGGGCGAGTGGTCTGGGCACTGGGGACCGCACAGCTGGTGCCCCTCGGCGCCCCCGGTCACGGTGGCCCAGGGCTCGGGGCACAGGCTCGGCTGGCGGCTGCTTCCCGCACGTGCCCCCGCTTCGCATCGCCACTGGGCTCCCCACGCCCCACCCCTGCGGCCTCCCGAGGGCCACCTGTACATCCCCGAACAATGCTGTCCCGCACTGGGTGGGCGACCTGCCCAGGCGTTTGCGCCCTCCGCACTGGCCCAGCACCCTTCAACACCCCGTGACGGCCACAGACACGGGAGCGTAGAGCAAAGGGCGGGTGGCTCCTGCCGGGTCGGAAGCTGCCCCGTGCCGTTCCGAAGCCCCACTCCGTGTGGGCGCTTGGTCCGCGCTGGTCCCCAGCTTACAGCCCAGAAAGCGGGGCCCCACGTGTGGGGGCCTGTCGTGCGCAGGGCCCGGGGTCGGTGGCTGTGCCCGCTCAGAGACGCCTCCCCCGCCTTGGAGCCGCCAGGCCTGGGGCAGGACCAGGGGCCCAGACTGCTCTCCCGGCTCCCACGGCACGTGACGACCGGCCAGAGTCCCTGGGCGCTTGGCCCCTGGCCCGAGCCCCACGATCGGAAGCTGTGCCGGCAGCTTCTGTGCTGTGTCCCCAGACACGCTCGCTGGCCAGCGTGGAGCTCGGCCACACCTGAGGGAGCCGGGCGGGGAGCACGGGCGTTGGCACTGGGCCCCCAGGCCCAGCTGGGACTTCTAGAGGTTCGGAGCCTGCTGCCCCCCACCACAGGGCGACGAGACCAACGCCCCGCAGGTTCGCCAGGTCCCGGCGCAGGTGGCTGGCTCGTCGGGCCTGGCCTCACCTGGCTGGCTGGGGCCGGGCCGACCACGGCCTCGTAGGGCGGCGGCAGCTCGGCCGGGTAGGGCAGGCCCGGGCTGTTGATGGCCACGTCATACAGCGCGCTGAACGGGCCGGGACCAAAGTCCAGGTGCAGGTCCCTGAAAAGGCAGAAGCAGGGAGCTGTCACTCGGGGGCCGGAGCCCGAGCGGGGGGTGTTCTCTCAAAGCAAACGACGAGGCTTGTCGGGGTCCCCTCATTCCACACGCGTCGTGTTCGAGAAAGAAACGCGTAATTCTTTCTTTCTGGAAAGATAGTGACATCGTCCATCAACTCTATGGCTCTGTCTAGAATTAAAATAACCAATCTGTAGTTAAAATTGACGTGTCGCGCCAACGGCATTTCGTGGGAGCACCGTGGAGCTGCGAACATCGGGCTGGCCGCTCCTGTGGTCTCCCGTGAGAACCGGTGGGAGCGTCCATCTCCGGGCCCCTGCTCCGGTGACCCGTGACCCTCTGCTCTGCAGCCAACAGCTGCCACCGCTTGCTCCGCCGAGAACGAGCGTGGCCTCCGCCTCCCCGGGACCCTCCCCACCCCGCGGTGTCACGGCCCCCACGGAAAGACCCACCTGTGGGCGTCGGCCGTGGGCGTGCAGGTGTACTCGGGCGGGTAGTAGGGTGGCGGGGGCAGGGGCGGCACGAACTCGTCCAGGTCCAGGGCCGGGTGGGGGGCGGTGCCGTGCGGGGTCCCGCAGGCCGGGCTGGCCGGCCGCGCCGTCTGCGGGAGGAGCTGGAGACAGAGGCTCCGCGTGAGTGGGCCATGTGGGGTGCTCGTGTCTGGTCAAGCTCCTGCGCGTGGGCCTTCACGGTGCAGTGTACACCGTCAGGCCTTGGCGGCGACACGCACATAAACGGCGGCTCCCTGCGGCCACCGGGCCTCCAAAGCCTCGCGCTGCGCCCCACACAGTGACGCAGAAGCCTCTCGTCCGGGCCGGGTCTGCACGATCCTGTGTTAAAGGCCCCGAGAGGCCTGCGCCAAAACTCCATTAAACCGTTAACCCACCAATGAGGCTTCCCTCAAATCGGGGGCCCGTGGACACACAGCACCCATGAACACGGGGCAGCTCTAGGGACTCACGCGCTTTGTAAAACTCTGCTCTGAGGGAAAAGAATCCTCCATGAGCTCCAGAACGTTCCGGGGGGCAACCCAAAAACCGATGCTGCTTGAGCAAACAGGTAAAACCCCCTGAACGAGAGCTCGCTGTCACTGCTACCGAGCTCTCCGTGTCCGCCCAGAGAAAGCACGATCAATAACTGCTTCCCTTCCCACCGCGAGGCACTGCTCCCCAGACGTCACCCGACATGGTGGCCCAGCCCCAACCGACACCACACTGTGACCACTTGCAGGTGTGCAAGGGCCCTGTGTCACCTGGGACCTGCCACTGCGTGGGGGGTGGGACAAGGAGCCAGAGTCCGCGGTACATGGCCTCACGGGCAGACCCGCTGGGTGACGATGCGCTGTGCAAGCACCGGGCGGGAGCCTGGGTTTCCCCGGCTTCATGAGAATATGACATCTGATTGGGCTTGAAAGACTCAGGATTTCAACAGCTGGGCGTGCAGGACCGTGCCCCGGGCCTGAGAAGCAGGCAGCTAGTAGAAGGGGTGTTTAAGCACAGAAAATTCAGATGAGGCTCCCCTCCGGAAGTGAACCCCCACTCGGGGTGGGGGCATGGGAACCAGCAAGGGTGCTGGGGCCGGCCGGGGAGCAGCCCCGCTGAGGCTGAGTGGCCGGCAGAGCCTCCCAGCAGCAGCGGGCAGGGTGGTCTGCAGTCGGGGTGGCGGAGCACTCATGCACAAGTGCAGACGAGGTCACGGGTCTGGACACCGTCCCAGGCTGTGCCACCAGCCTTCTCGACTGACGGAGAAAGAATGGGGCCATGTCCGCACATCAGGCCAACAGTAGCTCCTGTGCGTCCACACCCAGAGCACGTTCCTGCCTCTCCAGCTGGCCTGGCCCGGGAGCCCCGATGCTCACGGCAGGACCCAGCCAGAGGCCAAATGTCCTTGCGATGTAATAGGAAATACTGTGAATTAGTCTCTATCAGAAGTTGGAAAAATCAGTGACATGCTCAAGCATGAGACGCTAAAGTGAAAATGCTTTTCTGTCAAAGGTGTGGTCCCACCGGGAGGGAGAACAGCACCTTAGTGGGGGAGGCGCCCCAGATGACGACGCTATGGCCGGTTTCAGCTGCTGCGCACGCACATGGGGGCCTTCCGAGGTTAGAGACCCCAGCAGCAGCGCTAAACCCAGGCAGAGTGCTGATCCTGCCCCCGCCCCGCCCACACC